GACCCTTTGTCACTGGCTGTGGTCATCCAGAGGGTGAGCCTGACGAGCAGTCAGGATCATGCTGACCTCTAGTGGCAGATCTAGAAATTGCAGACGCTGCAATGGCCCTCTTGCTCTGTAGGCACCCTGTCCCGAGGCTCTCACCCCCTCCTGGGAGACTTGTACATAGTGTAGATCCAGCTGAGCCAGTTTCCTTTGCAGGCTCATGTACTACTTTGACTTTTGCAAACTTTATTTTCATAGGTTGAGAAATTTTGTACAGAAATTAAAAAATGAAATTATTTATAACCTCTGTTTTGTTTATCTGGGTAGGTAGATGTCAGCCTCTTCTGACTTGCATCCTTTCTGGATTGTCCTCTGGGAAGCAGGACTTCCCACCTTCTGTAAGGGTGTTTGTGGCTTCTGCCTTGGGGGTAGTATGATGTTCAGCCAACCTGTCCCACTGACCTCACAGCCCCTCACCAGGTCCCAGGGTGCTGAGGGCAGACTCAGCAGCCTCCAAGGCCCTGTTATAACAGGACTGCATAGTCCCCTGTATGTCTGGAGCATCACATACAGTTCCTGGTCTCCTCTTTGTATACCTGAGATCACATCGCTCTACTAACTTGAGCACAATCTGGGGTCCCTGTTTGTGTCCCCGGACCCTTCCCTCCATTCCCAACCCCTAGGGAATCTGGTCGGCATCCACAGGCCGCAAACTTCCAAAACAATCGTGGTATCTTTATTGACTTTTTTTTTTGAATGCAATGACTGTTTTTTTTTTTTTAACTCTTAAGGAAAATAAACATCTTTTAGAAACAGCTCGATACACACAATCTTCAGTGTGAAGCAATATACTAATAAGAACACTAGTTGTCTTAACATTTACAGTCTTCATATATATTATATATATGTATATGTATACATATATATACACTATATAACGAGGCCAGATATAATACACACGTTTACCATTTTACAGTCATATGTACAGGAAGTTGCAGGGAAAGGGGGTCTGCATCAGGCCTATTGAAGCGTGGACAGAGCTGAGAACACAAACGGACAGGTGGGTACTGGCCGTGGCGGTGGTGATGGTGGTTGCACAGGGAAGGGACATCACTGTAGCCCCTACCCTGCCCAAGGCCAGGTTAGGGCTCTGTGCTGTGGAGCACACGACGCACAGCAGCGACACACAGAAGCGAGCATGTTCCCAACATATATACATTCTATGTAACATATATATAGAGGGGTACACAGGTTTGTACACGAAGTCTAGCACTGTCCCCACCCACGAGCCGAGCGAGTGGCAGTCCCTGGAACCCAAGGTGGTGTTTTGGGACAGCTGCACATTTGCCTAGAGGGTAGCCAGGCCCAGTTTCCTCAAGCTTCCAGACTGGACTCCAACAGTGGGGTGGAAGACTGGAAAGGGGACAAACAGAAGCCATAAGGGCACCGCCCCAGGCCAGCCCACATCAGAGACCACATGGCCTGAGCCCATGCCTTCCAGGACCCTGGGCAAAGGGTGCTGGCCGCATTCCCCCATGGCTGGGCCTCTACAGAAAAGCTTGGGTCCTGCCCCAAGTCATCCACCAAGCCAACGGCGCCCTCGGCCTCTTCCCAGGGGCACAGCTTGCATGCCACATCGTCGGTTCAGAACTTGCAGGGGACTTGCACCCCGCCCGAAGCCGCGCGCCCCGGGTCTGGTCACCCGGTGGCCTGCCCTCGCCAAGTCTGGCCTGGAACAGGTTTTCTTCACAACCCAGGCCTCACGCCAGCGCCCGAAGCAGCCGGAACCAAGACCCGGGATGGGATCAAGGACCGGCTGTGGACGCAGTTCCTCTTCCTTGGAGGATCGGCCACGTGGGGATTACAACGGCAGCCTCTGTGGGAGGGACAGTGTGTTAGAGCCAGCCACTGCTGCCCGCCCCAGCCCTTCCACTCAAGGCCCTGCAGTCTACTCTGGGGGTTGTGGGAAAGTACCTTAGGGCCCAGGCCATGCCTCTGTACCCTCTAGCAAGGCAGGGACAAACTGGGTTGGGTGGCGGGGGGGGGGGGGCTTTCTCAGGGGAGTCTGTTCACCTACCTTATGTTTGGGGCACTTCAAAGTAAAATTCTCCTCAATGAATGTACAACCTGTGAACAAAGGGAAGTTTCTGTGGCGACAAAGAGTAGGCTGGCTGCCAGGGCTGATTCTGAGCACCCAGGTCCTGCTTAAAACCCTCATTAGTCCAAACTGCATCCGAGAGAGGCAGCCCCTCTGCCTCTACCCTGATACTCCCCTTCTCTGCCTACACCTGAGACGCCCCTGGCCCACTGCTACATGGCTATCTCCAGGTCTTAGTACCCAAGTCGTCTCTGCCTAGAGCGGAAGGACCTCCCATTCCCTCACATACCCATCCCCCATGCCTTACTGTGCTGTGCATGGCCACTCCTGTCCCAACCTCCTGCACCACTGTCGGGAGAGGCCCTTGCTCAGAAAGCACCAGTGGTGGCTGACAACTGAGAAGTGCAGTCCCGGGTTCTGACCGCAATGTCAGCTACCAAGGCTCAGCACACATTTTGTAGAATAGTCACTGTCACCTACTGGGTGCTGTCATGGGTCCCCTTTCTCATGTTCAGAGAAGTGGTCTGGATGTAAGGGCTTATTCTTACCAGACTGCAGTACGTGGCAAGCTGGATGAATCCCCCAGATGTTCAGTGAGGACGGCTGAGCACAGCCAGTCTTCATGCCTACCTGGGCAGTACACCATGCCAGCTGCCATCCACCCAAAGGTTCTCATGGGTCCATCTTTCCTCCCTTCTCTGCCACTTCCCATCATACCCCCGTCTCAAACCAGGGACGGCACAGCTTGCCTATACTTCCTTCCCTTTTCTCCACCCAAAGAGGAGGGAGACAGATACCACCTGAGAATAATGTAGGAGAGGTTGTCCTGTGGGTCAGCTGCCGGCAGGTGCACTCAGGCTCTGGGGCCGAGCTGGACCTAGATTCGGACGCAACCTAACCAGGAAGGTTGCTACCTCCCAGTCAAAAATCACCCAACAGTAAGAGCAGGGACTGGGACCAGGGGTGGGGGCGGGCAGATTTGGGACTGAACAGATTGGAGCCTGTGCTGTAGCCATTGTGTGCTTAGAAGTGAGGGGCAGAAGAGGATAATGAGTGGTCACTTAGCAACCTAGGAAGGAGCCTGCCGACACCTAGGAGTGGCAGGCTCCATGTGGTAAACTATTCCTGTACTCTCTAGCCATGTGGCTGGTCACTTGCCCTGGCTGCTGCTTCTCAGGGCCCCACCTCCCTAACAGCTGTTCAGAGGTGCCCTCCATCCCCAGTGCAGCCTGACCACAGGGCAGCTGGCTGTGGCAGGAGGCTCCCTCCTACTGTGCTCTGCCATCAGCTCCAGGGCTCTGCCTTTGGCCGACAGGGCACAGAATCCAAAGCCTTGTTAGCTATTCTTGCAGGGCCCTACTGCTGTCACAAGGATGTGCTAGGCCAACCACCTGCAGCTGACAGCAGTGGCCCAGCAGCCCACCCCTGCAGAGCCTGATAAAGCATTAATGGTGCTATGTAAGCCACTAAGCTGGGCTGGAAGGGCAAGGAACTTGGCCCTGCTACTGAATGCCCTATTTTCTCTGGCCTGCCCTGGCCAAATCAACATCTTTTTTGGTTTTTGTTTTTCCAAGACAGGGTTACTCTGTGTAGCCCTGGGTGTCCTCGAACTCACAGAGATCCATGTGTCTCTGCCGCCCAGGTGTTGGGATTAAAGGGTGTGTACCACATTGCCTGGCTCAAATCAACATCTTAAAATGAGGAAACCAGGCTTGACATACTCACTCTCTTATGGGTACTTTGACTGCAAAGTACTTCTAGGCACCATGTGTGCCAGTGCCAGGGGAGGCCAAAAAGAGGCATCAACTGCCCTGGACTGGAGTCTCAGGGATGCTGCCGAGCCACCTCCCCACCCGCATGAAGTTTAGATATCTTGATTAGATTAACTGCAGTGAGAACATAGACCCGCCGTTCTCTGTCACTACTGTTTTTAAGAATGTTATTATTTTGGGAGGGTGGGTCTCACAATATAGCCTTGGCTGTCCTAGAACTCATTCTGTAGACCAGGCTGGCCTTGAACATGGAGATCTGCTTACTGTTGTTATCCAACTGTTAGGATAAAAGGCATGTGCCACCATGCCTAGCTTAAGTTTTTTTTTTTTTTTTTTTTTTTTAAATGTGTATATATGTATGTCTGAGTGGCTATCTGTGTGCACTACAGTACCAACAGAAGCCAGAAGAGGGCATCAGATCCACGGGAGATGGACTTAAAGGTAGTTGTAGGCCACCAGTACGTGGGTGCTGGGAATGGAACTTGGGCCTCTGCAAGAGAACTCTTAACTGCCCGGCCATCTGAGACAGAGTCCCACCACATAGCCTTGGCTGGCCTGGAACTTGCTTTGTAATTCAGGTTGGCTTCAAACTTAACATTTGCCTGCCTGTCTCCCAAGTACTGGGATAAAGGAATGTGCCACCATGCCTAGCTCCTTTCCAATTCTTTTACTTTCCCTTTTCAAGACAGGGTTTCTCTATGTAGTCCTGGCTCACTCTGCAGACCAGGCTGGTCATGAGCTCATAAGAGAGCCACCTGCCTCTGCCTCCCAAGGGGTGGGATTAAAGGCAAGCGTCACCACACCCAGCTCTGCTCTGTGTGTCTGCTGCTGTGACTATATAGTAACTATATATAACTATAGTGGCTTGTGACCTATGACTGAGCCAAAACAAATCTTCCTTCCCCAAGCTGCTTTTGTCAGGGCATTTTATCATAGCAACAGAAAAGTCACTAAGACACCTAATATATGACTGTGGCAGGATTATGGCCATCCTGCCTGTCCCTTCAGGCTGAGCCACTGGGGAGGCTGGACAAGCCTGGAGTAGGAGAGGACAGAGAAAGCTCCCCAACCTCTGTGTGGCTGTATGTGTGTAGCTAGGACCGGGCAGAAAGTGAATTGCCACATGATGACTTTGCCTGAGATAGGTTGGATAGGGAGTAAGGCCTTGTACTTAGGTTGAGTCCACGTCCCAATACAGGTCACATTGTGATGGAGGCAGAGTCAATGAGGACCCCAATCCTGTGTCCACTAACATCCTTTTCTGCTGAGTGCTAGCAGCTCACCACCACCAGAAGACCATCACCATCTGAGGCCCTGTGTGGCTCCCACGGTGGCTCGGCAGGGGCTAATGCTGGCCCAGGATCTATTGGGCAGATGGCACTGATGGCATTCTACTGCTCAGACTAGGACAAATGACCAGGCCAGAGCTGAGGAATGGGAGGGGATGACAGCATCTGACTCATGAGGCTGTACTTTCTGGAGAGTCCTGCTGTTCCAATGACGAGCTGCTCACGGTCCAGCTCTGCAGATGGGGTCTAGGAGACTGATGGGCACAGGGAGAAATGGCGCCTGGGCTGGATCTGGACAAGAGTGTGCTGTGCTGCCTGCCATTCCCAGCGACTGGATGCTGTCTTTATAAGCAAGTGCTTCAAGTTCTCCACTTGATGGGTTAGAGCTGGCCTTGTTGGTCCTGTGACCCACAATGAGTAGGAAAGAGGACAGGTCACAGGGGGGGTCTGTCACCCATAGACCTGCTCCAAAGTTTGCATGATGAGTCCCGATAGCCAACATGCCAGCTGGTCTGTCTCCACCTTGACCTAAATTCCCCTAGTTTGATTGATTTTTCTGCAGTAAATGCTGGAGATGGCCTCTGGCGCTCAGGTAGTGTGGTTGGTATGGACACACTCTGTGTAGGAGCACAGGATGGTCATCCAAAACAATCTACCACTGAGATACTCACAGTTCCTTGTTTGGTTGTAGTTGGTATACAGCCTTTCCCCTTTTCTCTGTCGAGTGTGCTCCTATTCATTCTTAAAGGCCCATGCCCCCACACTCTCTCCTTTCTGAGCTCTTTGCTCAGATCTCTGTTCTATCCTTTATGCCTCTGTCTGCCCCTCAGAGCTCTGGGAAATCCTCAATCAGGTAGGTAGGGACCAACCCATTTCTACATCCCTGCAACTGCCAAATGCAGGTAGAGGCAGAGAACGAGTTACGGAGTTGTTGGGGCAGGTGAGGGCACTGGGACTCACATGGGGTCTGAGTTGGAACAGCTGTATCCAGGCCAGCTCTTACCTGTGTCATTGGCACAAGGGTAGTGGTAGGTGTGCATACATCCCTTATAGGAGCATGAGATGGTCGCCCCGGCTTCATGACAGCTGGAACATGGCTGAAGAGAGAGGAAGGCAAGTGAGTCCTTGTGTGTCCAGATGGGCCCAACAGTACTTCTGCCAGAATGGCACTGGGATGAAGCAGGGAGGGAAATGCCCTGGAGGGCTGGCCCTCTGCCATCTCCTGGGCTAGCGCACTGAGCGGGGACCCTCTTGGGCTAGTGGTGCTAGTCACCACAGTGGCCATGGCTGGCAGCCACCATCTGTCAGGTGCTGCTTACATGCTGGCTGTGATGTGTCCTCATCCACTGGCTCCTTCTAGCAGCAAGGGGAGTGGCTTTCATTGCCCTCCACTTTCCAGATGGTTAGACAGGCACCTTCCATGTGAGGGAGAAGCATGCTCCCTACCCAGTGGCAGCAGCAGATGCATAGAAATGAGCTGGGTGGGGGAAGAGTTGACATATGACCCCCCCAAGAGGCTGGTCTCATGTGAACCTGATGCCCCCAGAACATGTCCAGCCCTTCTCCATAAATGACTTTTGCTGGGTCCAGAGGCTGTGACATGGCTAGGACCGGACAATGATGCCAAACCTTGGCACAGGGAGGGATATAGATGGGTCCCAGGCCACCCCTGCTCCCAAGCCTGTCATCACTGTGGGCAGTGAGGCAGGAGGGAAGCAGAGGACAGACACAGCAGGCTCAGAGGCCAGGCACTTTAGTAACGGTGCACTTGGTGCCAGGTGTTGCTGTAAGTTCCAGCACAGCACTCTCTTCCCTGGGTCAGAGAAAACAGAGCTGGAAGCAACCCATAAGTTCAAAGGTCCAGGTAGACCCAAAGTCACACGGCCCAGCAGGTTCAGGCTGTGCTGGCATGGTGGGTTCTGCCCAAGCACTCTGTAGCTGGAGTGGCCAGTGTGGTTGGGTCAGCAGAGCTTCCGGATGAGCCTTCCAAAGACCTAGAGCCCTAGGCCAACTTAAGCCACTAAGGGAAGACAAAGCATGTGGAAACCCCAACAGGGACCAGATCTCACTCGCAGTGACCCTTGGGAGTACTGTGAGGTTGAAGGTAACTATGGTCCCCTTGTGGCAGATAGTCCCAAGCAACTCCTGAGGCAAGACTGCTCATTACAAATACGAAGAGGCTAAGGCACCAAAGGATGAAGACTTGTTCTTGGGTAGATCAACCGTGTCACCCCCACTCAGAGGCCGCCATCTCCTAGGGTGTGATCAGCCCCAAGTCCCTGAATTGCAGTATCCCGTCTAGTCAGGAAACAGTGACAGATCGAGGATGTGGGCAGCCCGGGTGGCTAAAGACCTGGAAGGTGGGCATGGCAGACTGAGATACAGTAGGAACTGTGGAGGATGGGAAGACCAAAGGCTGGCCAGTGCAATGGATGGGAGGTGGCACTCTGGGGCTTGTGAGTGACACGAGTCTTCCTAAAGTTACATTTGAAGCAGGCTCTGCCTGGTTCCTGGAGAGAGCAATGCCAACAAGCCACTAAGGCTATGACCCTGCAGGTCACTCTCCAGGGAACCCGGGAAACCCTAGCCTGCCCCTCAGTGTATTCTGCAGGGGGCATGTCATTGGAGCCTGTGACTGTGGGGTACAGCCTGGCAGCAGGCCCCGGCTGCCAGTCCTGAACCAGACAGGCCTACCTCTGGCAGGGAGACTTCAATAGGCAGCCAACCCTTGTCCAATGAGAGCCTCTCCTAATCGATCTTCCCTGTTACCCTGGTGTGTGGCAGTGTTGACAGGGCTCAGCAGTGAGTGGCTCCAGCTCCAGCTGTGACCCCATGACCCATACACCTTCCTCAGCTCAACAAGATGTGTGTGTGTGTGCCAGCATGGACAACAAGAGGCCCAAGGCACAGGACCAACTAGGCCAGTGAGCAAGGGTCCTTACTGCATTCACCAAGGTTTCAGCTTGTTTATGTGAGCCCAGTACTAGGGGTTGGAGACATGAGATGACTGAGTTCCAGCTCTGCCCCTCAAATAAGCCCTGAGTAATGCAGGGTATCAGGTATCTCACTGGATAGGGGGGGTCCAGGCTTGTTTTTCTTTCTTTTTATGTGCATTAGTGTTTTGCCTGTGTGTATGTCCATGTAAGATGCTGGATCCCCTGGAACTGGAGCTACAGATAGCTGTAAGCTGCCATGTAGGTACTGGGAATTGAACCCAGGTCCTCTGGAAAAAACTGCCAGTGCTCTTAACCACTCAGCCATCTCTCCAGCTCCCAGGCTTGTTATTTTCTAATGAAGGGAGAGAAAAGACTATTTCAAGGTAGCTGTGAAGATATAGTCACTTAGTCACCATGGAGCCAGTGACAGGCAGGAAGATGGGGGTTTGGTGCTTGCCTGATACATGAACTGGCCGAGTTACTGAAAGCTGTGCTGTCTTGTATCTCAGGCCCTTCTCAACATGATGTGTAGACAATGGGGCCCAGAAAGTCTATAGCTATCACCATGGACAGGAGATGCCTAGAGTCAAGGGCAGCATCCACAGAGGTCTCTGAGGTCAAGGACAGGGCCTGGACAGAGTGCTTCGGAGAAGCTGAGGCAGGAAAGTATGGAGAGGACAGAGGCTGCTGGACAGTCAGGGTCCTCTGAATTCAGCTGCCCACAGTGGACTGAGGGAAGGAGGAAAAGAAGGAAGTCAACAGAGCTGGTATGAGTTCCCAATAAGGACAGTGTAGAGGAGCTGCCCAAGGCATGATCTGCAAGGCAGAAAGAGGCTCTGCTGCCCTAGGGCCAAAGCTTCAGGGGAACATGGCTTCTGGAGTAGCCTCTGCCAGTCCCCTTGGTCTCAGGAACCTTAGCTGCAGCCAGAGTTCACAATACTCTCTCCATCCCATACCTGTGATCCCAGATAGAGCCCTCAAGATCAAGTCTAGGTGCTGTGGTCTTGCCCACGGGGATGAAGGAACAAGGGTAGAGGCTGTGCCTGCGGCAGTCCAAAGTTTTCTGAAGGGATGACTTAGAACGGGAGGGTTGAGCTTCAGGGCTTCTGTGGTCAGGAAACCCAGGGTTGCCCAGAACCAGTGTCCCATGCTTTAGCCACGTTGTTTAGGAGCTATCCCATAAGTCCCAGTTCAGGGGAGACCAGGCCACCTTGGCATTCAACTCAGGAAGGGCCCTGTCTTGCCAGCTCTGGTTTTGGGTGGTGTGTGTGGGGAAGACTGGCCCTGTGGAACACAGGACTGTGTGGGGCACATACCCTGGGGCAGGATAGATAAATGTGACCTGCTGTAGCCCCAGGAATACTTCAACTTGCCTCGACACTCCCTCGAGGGACTGGCTACTCTTTGGCTATGGGCACAAGTGACCCACAATACAGCCCTGACGGCACCTCTGCCAGCCTGACAGTACCTCAAAAATCCCATCCCCTACCGGGGCTGGTCTAGCTTCTTACCATGTCCACAGCTACCTTCATGGCCTCCTGCAGCCCAAAGAGCTTCCCGGCCACCAGGTACACCCCGCTGGTCCACACAGCACAGGCCTCATGTACCCAGTGTTCCTGGGTGTCCCCACCAGGTTCTGCAGGAGCCTCTTTGCTGCATTCATGCTTACGGCTCTTGTCAGCTGGGGCCACCTCCTCACCCCCGTCCCCCTGACCATCACAGCAATAGCAACTCTGCAGCCGCCGTGACAGGCCCCGGGCACTGGTGCGCAGGGTGCCCTGCTTGCCAGGGTCAGCTGGGCCATCAGGCCTGGACAGCCTCCCCAGGGTTGTGGTGGTGGTGATGGTGGTGGCGGCAACGGTGGTGCTGGCTGCACATTCCAGGCCTTTGAATGTTCTCTCAAGAGGCAGAGAGGCCTCCTCAAAGGTGCCCTCCAGCCGCACCTTCTCCTTGAGTTTTGGTTTCTTTTTTGGGAGGCAGTGTTCAGGGTAGTAGGGGCCACAGAGGTCCCCAAGGTCTTTGAAGTTGGCCGGGTTTTGGCAGAGGCAGCAGACAAGGCAAGAGGTACTTAGGGCCTTGGATACCACAGGCCCCAGATGCATGGTGGAGGAGAGGGGCAGGGAGGGCCTCGGCTGCAGCACAGGGCCTCCAGGGAACGTGGTCAGAGAGGCCCCAGCTGGTTCTAAGGAGGAGGAGGAGACAGAGGAGGAGGATGCAGCAGAGGAGGATGGCTTCCAGTGAGGCTTGGGCTCATCCCCTGGGGAGTTGACAACAGTACATATGGTGGTGTATGCGTCTCGCTTCTCCACCCGCACAAAGGGCGAGAAGGCTGGGGTGCGGCTGTCTGCCCTCAGCCGCTTGCAAGAGGAAATGTATTTGAGTCGGATTTCAGGTTCTGCAGGATCCAGGGGCAGAACCTGCTGCTGCCGTCTCCGGGTGGCACGTCCCTTACAGGGTGAAGCGTGGGTGGTCTTAGCCCGGCCACGGCTGAGGCGCTTCCGCTTTGAATAGCTACTATAGCTGGCTTGGCCCGGCTGCTTCTGTGCCCTTGTCTGGGGCTGGCAGGGCCGGCCTTCAGGGGGCTGGGGGGCCATTCCCGGCTCCTCTGTCTTTGGCTTCTTGCCTCCTCCACCGGAGCTGTCCTCACCTCCACCCTGAGTGCTGCTGGACCTGTCATGGGTAGCAAGGATCAGAGTTTGGCCAGGACAGGGCCGCTTCTCTAACTGCCCTTTAGAGGGTCCCAAGGCCCCGGTCCTGCTTTTCCGGCTCCTTTTCTTCGGTGCACGGGCAGTCCCTAGGGATGGCAGGGTCTCTGGGGACATGAAGGCCTCAGCTTTGGGACAGTCGGCAGTAGAAGACAGTTTCTTGCTACTCAAGAGTTTGCCTTTTAGGGACCTGCTGGCTGGATTTCTGCACAATGTGTCGGCTCCTGAAGCAGCTGGTAGCATCTGCCCAGGGCCCATTCCTCCTAGGCCCTCTTCTGCCCCAGCTGGACTGCCCCCTGACCGTTTCTCAGGTAGGGCTGGGCTCCGGGGTGTCCCAGGAGGAGCCCCCGCCACTCTGCATGCAAATTTCTTGAGACCAGGGGAGGTGATCTTCTGCACTATGGCCTCCAGCTTGAGGCCACGGCCCTTTCGGGGTGGCAGCACCTTGGTCCTCACAGCACTAGGCAGGGATGATGGTGTAGCCAACCCCATGCATGCAGCAGGAGGCTCCAGGGATGGGGGTGGGGGTGGCTCCCCAGTGCCTCTGGGCCTGGCCCTCTGGGGTGAGGCCATCCTCCTCAAGAGGCTAGGCGAGCTCTCGGGCCTCTCCTCCCTACCATCTGTCCCACTCCCACTGCTGCTCCGAAGGATGAGGCTTCGCTTTTTCGTGGGGACAGGAGCCATGAAAGCCGATTTCCTTTTGAGCGCGTGGAGGGGCCGATCTGAAAGCTTGCTCCCTGTACCAGGCTTGGGTACTTTGACCCGCTGGCTCACCCGGCCTTCCTTCTGGGGCCCACTGGAGACCTTGAATGCAGTGGCTAAGTGGTTGTTGGCAGGGAGCTTCTTGGTGGCACGGCAATCTGGGATCCGGCTCTCTGAGGGCCGCCGCCGTTTGGCATGGAAGACCTGCTGGGGTTTGGTGCGAGACCGGAGGACCATGGAACGCTGGTCCTTGCCAGGGATGCTGGGAGAGTCTGGCTCCTTGGTCTTGGAGCCCATGGGGCTACTGTCCGAGGCAACAGGCAGGGCAGCAGGGTTGCTGGGGCTGGATGCTGCCTTGGGTGATGGTTTTCCTACCCGCTTGCCAGACTTGAAGGCGGCTCGCTGTTTGCCTCCCAGTTTGTCAGGAGGTGTGGGGGTTGTGGTCAGGCCTGGAGGTCCAGGAGTTTGGGGCTCACTGAGTGCTGTAAGAGAGCGAGTACACATTCTGGGGAGCCCTTCTGATAGCCCCCGGCCTGGGGCTCCAGCCCCTTCTGCCTGTCCCTGGGGGGGTCCCGTGCAGGACTCTGGGAGCAAGAGGTCTTTGGGAAGTGCTGGTACCCTGCACGGAGAGTCTTCAGCCTCAGGCAGCCCTCGGTGCACCCTCCGGCTCCGTAAACTTTTACCCCGCGGCACAGGCTCTTTCTTAGCAATGGGTACCTCAGGCACAGCAGGCTTGTTAGGCTTTGGGGCCAGGGAGCCTTCTGAAGTGGTGGAACTACCCGGGGCTCTCTCCATCTCAGGCCCATCTTCTCCTGGCTTCATATGTGACAGCGACGACTCAAACCAGCTCTGGACCTTTGACTCAGCACCCACAGAGGGGCCCAGTAGGACAGCAGGCTCCCCAGAGAGGTGACATGGGGAGGCCCAGCCAGCCTTGGGGTCCAGAACTTCCTCTGCTTCCTCCTTGGTGCAAAGCAGGGGAGCCTTGGGGGACAATGGGTCCTGCAGGCTGGGCCTCTGCTCAGGGCTGCCCAAAAGTTCACACAAGGAAGAGTACTCCTCTTCAGCCTCCAGGTCCTCCTTCCTGCCAGGGGGTGGCAATAGCGGCAGGTCCCCGAAGTCAGCAGAGGAACAGCAATGCCGGCTGTCCTCCAGCCACTGGTCAGCTTTGCCCACCTCAGGGCACTGCAGCAACCCACCCACTTCCTCCTTCACCCCATCTGCCTCCTGCTGTTTGAAGTCCCCAGACAGTGTGGCTGCTGGCTTCCCAATGGCATGGTCTTCCTGGAAGCCCAAGCAGGCAGAGGTCTCGTGTGCATCTGCTTTGCCCACATTGTCTGAGGCTTTTGCACCCTGCTCCAAGCCCTTGGTGAGCTCACCAGGATGGAGGCCCCAACGAGGACAAGCATCACCTAGGTTCTCCTCTGGCCAGGCAAAGGGGTTGGCACTGTCCACCGAGGTGGCAGTGGTTGTATCTGGAAAGCAGTCAAATGCTGTCGTGGTGGGGTCTGGAGTGGCAGCTCCAAGCAAAGGCTTGGTACCAAAGGACAGGGGACTGGTTGTCTTCTTCGGGTCAGTGGTGGCAAAGGCCACAGAAGGGTCTTCAAATAGCCCTGGGCTGAAGTCCTTAGTGCTACCACCTTTGTCCAGCTGCAAGGGCTCAGGTAGGGTTTCTGGTTCCCCTGGCTGTGACCATGAAGTCTTGGCCACACTGTCTAGGCAGGTGCTGTGGTTCTCCAGTGAGAAGGGTGGCTTGCCATTGTCCTTGGGCAGGCTGGAAGTCTCAGCCCAGGCCTTGTCAGCCTTTTCAACAATGGCTTCCTGAAGCCCTAGGATCTCAGAGGCCAGATCTTCCTGTGCCAGGGCACTGAGCAGCAGCCGTGGGCAGTCCCGCTCGCCTGCCACAAATTTGGAGAAGCTGTCCAGTGGCAGAGTACTGTGCAGGCTCTGGAAAGAGTCGTCAGACTTGGTGGACATGTCGTCAGGTGAGGTCACAGAACAGGTGGACACGGACTCAGGCTTGGCCTTGTTGCTGTTGTTGACCCTGGCAGGACTGCCACGGGCCTGGCTGCAGTAGAGGAAGCTGCGCTCTAGTGGGTCCTCGGAGCCACTCAGGTAGTCAGTGTCTTGTGGCTCAGCGTGAGTGGACTGGGGTGTGCTGCTTGGCGGCTCAGACAGTGGTGTGCCTGCTGGCTCAGCGGAGTAGCCACTGCCCTCAGGGCTACAGTGCTGGCTCTTGTGCTGCTCTGGAGTCCTAGACACAAGGCTCTTGACCCCTTTCTTCTGTGGCATGGCAGCTTTGGACAGCAAGAGCTGCTGCACAGTGTTGGAGATGTTTTCCACCTGTGAGGTAAGTGCTGTGAGGCTCTGCAGGCTGAGGTCTGACAGCAAGTTGTCGGGAAGCTTCTCCTTTTGCAGGGGCTTGCAGTTGCTGACCTGGGGGTCCACAGAACTGGCAGCATCTGTTGGAGATGGATTGAGCAGGGGCATAAAGTGGCTGTGGTCTGTGATGCCGGCGGGGAAGGCCCCAGCACTAAGCGGCTGCTGGCTATAGGGGAAGTTCTCCAGGTTGGGCATCAGTGGTGATGGGGTGGAGCTATAGGAAGGGGAGCGACCTACAGAGCGTGCAGGGGAGTGGCTGGAGCTAGGGCTGAAGGTCTGGTAATACTGTTCTGGAGTCCTGACAGCTGTGTCTGGTGGACAGTAGCCCTGGCCCTGCTGTCCATAGTGTTGGTACTTGGCGAGGTTCTGGTAGTGAAGAGTTTCCTGGGTGTGGTGCCGGCCTTGAAGTGCTTGCTGCTGCTGTTCATAGCCAAGGCGGCCTGATTGGTAAGCGTGAAGATTCTGGACCCGCTGCCCTGGGGCCAGGCTGGCATTGGCACTCATCGGCCTGTCATGAGGCTGGGCAGATGGTGCTGTGCAACTCTTATATGAGTGCGCCCCCTGCCCACCACCCTGCACTGCTGGTGCGTAGGTGGAGGAGGTAGGGAAGGACTGGGAATGCTGGGGAAAGTGGCTGCTCTGGGGGAAGGGCAGAGGGGAGGCAAGGTCATTCTGTGGTTTCTGCCTTTGCAGTTTGGGGTAAGCCAGGGGCTGCTGAGGCTGTGGTGGGGGGGCATGCAGGCTGTGAGTCCGGAAGGGAAGTTGGGGGCCCTGCTCAGGGTACTGCCTGTTTGGGGGCACCACGGCCTTCTTCATCAAGTTCTCCTCATACTTGCTCACTGTCCCTGGCAGAGGCTGCGGTTGGGGAGGTGGTGGCTGTGGGCCCCCCCAGGTCTGAAGGCCCTCCTCGCCAGAGTAGCGCCCTGGGTAGGGACTGCTGTCTTGAACGTAGCTGGGGAAAGCCGGTCTCCCCTGCAGGGACTTGCTGCCTCGGTGGTACTTGTCTGCAGCTGTCGTGGCCACGGTGCCGGAAGGGGCGCCAGTGCCACCCTCGTAGCCTGGATAGGGCTGTGGGCTGTAATAGTCCTTGGCCAGCAGCCGCTGCCGATCACAGCTGAGCCCAGCCTGACCTGGCTGCCTGTAGTTCTCCAGGCGCGATGTCTCCTGTGAGGGCTGTGGGTAGTTTTGCTGTTTGCCATGGAAACCACACCTTTCTCGAAAAGACTGCATGACTCGGGCCGGTTATCTGTGAAGAGAAGGGGTGGTGCAGAGGGAAAGCAATTCAGATGGGCCATGTTCCACTCTCTCTGCCTCAGCCAGCGCAGCGCCCCTCCCAGCCACCTTCTCACCAGCTGTGCACATATTGACAACCTCTGGGTCTGGGAGGTGTGCTCTGAAACCCTGCTTCCACAGTGCCTGCAGCTGAACCTTGCTGAGGAAGACTGCCACTGACATGGACAGTCCAAAACAGACTGCACAGAGCAAATCACAGGAATGGCCACTCTAGGACCCTCTTGCCAGCTCCTCCCCTCTATCTGCTTGTCCGTAGCACCACGCCCAGCCCTTGTACACAGTTCAAACTAGCAGAGCAATTCCACTCTGTTCCCTGGGGTCCTACTGGATCCCATAATCTTAGTCTTTGAGTAGTCCTACTCAAAGCATGACCCAGCCACACTAGGTATCCAGGAGGATCCCTCCCCAATCAGAGAGAGGGCGCTTGCCAGACCTGCCGTGACTGCACATTCAGGAATCCACACATGTACAAAGGACCTATCAGGCACATGTACATGCACGCTCACACACACCTCCCCTGCAGTGCCATCTGGACTCTGTCCCTTCTGGCAGATGTTGACTGGGGGGCTGCTAAGCCAACTGTCCACATAAAGCACCCCCTCCTCTGACTGCTGGGAATGAAGGATGGTAGCACCTGCCTCCTGTTGTTGGTATCATAGGTGCATGAACAGATTATGTAGTCCAGAATGTGGGGATGCATACTAATAGGGGACAAAGACAAAGTCTGCTGGCCACTGGAGACCATACTACCCTGCCTCTTCTGTGTCCCCTTCTACTGAGCTGCTCCTGATCTGGGGGACAGGGGCAGGTAGTATCTGATCTACCAGGAGGGCAGGGGCTTTTGTGGACAAAATCCTAACACAGGACTGTGCACCTTGGCTAGTTTCCTTCAACTGATTGGCTCGGTCACCCCAGAAACCCTCAGTGGTGGGAGAGAGGAATGCCCCCAAGCTTTGAAGAAATCACAAAGGCTAGCTATTGAGCCTGTGCCCCACATGTCAGGGTTTAGCCAGCCACCACACAGGCTGAAGGCAGGAGGCACCTGTTCTCTGGTGCTCAGCAGCTCTAGCCCCCCAGGAGGGAACTGGGACTTTCTAGTTCTTGTTCCAAAACATATTAAGATGGAGGTGTGGCCTGACTCAGAAACCACAAAGATTTCGGGGGTTTTGTTTGTTTGTGAAGAAAACGTGGGGGTGGAGAGGTAGGTGCCTCACAGAAAGAAACACAAAGGTGAGAGAGAGGAACAAATGGAAAGGTGGCCCTGGCAGGGCGGGCCAGCCTCCCTTTAGTCTGGATCCCACAAAGGTGCCTTCCTTTCTTTGTCTCAGAATTGACCCAGGGAAGGGAGCAAAAGAGGAACTCTGTCCAGGGGAACAGAGCATGTCCACACATCCAGATAACCCCAGAGCTCACAGCAGCAGGCCTGACCCAGCTGCCCCTAAAACAACTTTCCTCCTCCCCAGATGGTTAAAGCCTCCTGCCTGCCCCACCCACAGCGCATTCGCCTGTCTCTAACCCCTTACTTAAGATGGTGCCCACCTACCCTTTGGATCTAGTCCAGTCCTCCTGGTTTAGATGAAATACCCCAAGCTGTGCTACTCAGAGGGGCTGGGGGCAGCATCTATTCAGGAGACCCTCCTGGTGTCTCCTGCCCCCCTTCTAGAGCAGAGCACACTCTGGATGTAGGTAGATGTCACTCCTGCTCAGGACTGCTGGTGGGCCACTTCTAAGACCAGGACACAAAATGCCAGTTTCCTGTCTTCCCTGGGTGTGTGTTTATACATACAAACACGGACTGCTCTAAAGGCTACATCTGCCTCCCTCATATATCTGCACAAATTACATTTCGGTTTTTATTAGTCCCAGATCACTCTCATTTCCTGCTGAGTGTCCTGTAGATATCATTAACATTTCTACGGCTGGAGTTTTGTGTGTGTGTGTCTCTCCCCCCAGTCCCACCGCCACATTCCCAAAATGCATTACCAGAGACATTATCTAAAAAGAGGGGAGCCATGAACAGTGCCCCCACCCCCTGCCTTCAGTCCCTGCCCCATCTAATCAGTCCAGCTGCTGTGCCTCTTAATTTCCCCACCCAGGATTACAGGCTGCCTTTCTGATGCACACAGGCAGCTGGATGTGGAAGGCATCTATCTCTAAGAAAAGACAGTTCAATTAAAATCCCAGAGGCCCAGTGCCTGTTGGAGGACACAGGCAGAAACATGTGCCCCAGCACCACCCTCCAACTCTGGCAGAGGGAGGGACAGAAACAAAGGCTCAGGCACGGTGGCATCCTAGCTGCCAGCTTGGAGCTGCAGAGGTCCTGCTGGCTCTGCCAGCAGAAAACGGGGTGCTGCCTCTTTAAGAGGCACCTCAGGCTTGCAGTGGGCTTTGTTGTTATTAATTATTGTGATTATGATTATTTTTCAAGAGCACCAGGAAAGGACATGGAAGGGACGAGAGGCAGATAGCAAAGGGCTGGCTGGGGTGGGCAGCATCAGAGAGCAGATGGAGGAACAAATTCCCCCACAGGTAATGGTGACCTTTCAACATGGAGGACAGAAGCAGCTAAGGTGGCTGGACCAACAGCAGTAAAGGTTGGGAAAGGGAATCTTGCCCTAGCTTCTTCCCCTCCCCCTTCTCCTGGGAACCTGCCAAGACTTCCCCTCAGCCACCCTGGCAGAATCTGTCAGGCAGCTGATGGGAATCCAGAGCAACCCTCTTTGGCCCTAGGGACATGAATACTCTAACCTTGTAACCACTGGTTACTCCAGACATTGGACGGAAGAGTGCACCGTGCCCAACAAGGCCAAGATCTCAGTGGAGCTGCACAGTGCTTGCAGTCTGTATAACTTCCTTTGTCAGAGCAGTAGCCACAGACAAGCCCTCATCATAGCCATGAAACTGTGTTGAAGGCATGGCAAGGTTGAGCCTAAGGCATTGTCCTTCTCCCAAGGACTCTAGGTCTCAGTGCTTTATCTTGTCCCTTTTAAAACTAAAGGTGAGGTTCAGAGGGGCTAAACACTTGCTTATGACCCTAGCTGAACAGTGGAGATCAAACTCCTCTCTCAGACACCACACCAGAAATTCCCACCCTGAAAGAGTGTCTTGGTACAGGACAGCAAGAAAGCCGAGCTGATTTCAGAGCAGGTGAACATATGCATAGGCATCCACCAAGCCTGTTATTTCTGTGGTGCTAGAGAAAAGCAAAGCTTGTTAAGCAAAATCTATCACTGAGCTATACCCTAACTCCCAGCAGGCAAACCTACCCATAGCATCTGGGCAGCCTCCAGTCGTTAGTCCGGAGCCTCTTCGAGTCCTAGGGTTGGCCCCCACCATTGAGATGGGTATACCGTGGGCCAGAGCTACTACTGCTCCCAGCTGGCCCTGTAGGAATGTTATCTTGAGGAAAAGAGGAAGAAAGGTGGAGAGAGGGATGGAAGAGACATGTTCCCTCTTCACTGGCAGGCCCTAGCCACTGGCCCTCTCACCCACCTAGAGTTGTTTTACGACCTGACTGATAGCAACAGGGAAAATGGAAAGCCTAACCCACTCAAGGCCTGAGAACCCAGAGAAGAGACGGGGAAGAGACAGACGATGTTCAGGGAACAATGGATAGGTGAGACCCAAGGGCCTCCCTATCTGTTACTGTTGGGAGATGGCTCAGTGGGTAGAAGAGTTTGCTGGACAGGCATGAGGATCTGAGTTTGGGACCCCAGCACCCATCAAAAAGCTGGGCATAGTTGTATGGCCTGTAACTGCAACAGCAAGGGGAGGGAGAAGTGGGAAACAGGTAAAGTCTGGTCTTGCTGGCTAGGTAGCCAGGGCCAGAGAGACTGTCTTAAGAAAGTAAGGTGAAAAGCAATAGAGAAAGGCACTGGAGGGCCTCTTCCACGTTTCCACAAGGGTGCCCTCACCCATGCATACACAAAAAATATGTGCCCTGGTGAGCCCCCAATCATCAGCCATTCTTAGCTGTTTGGGAGGCCTTTGCCAATCTTCTTGGGAAGCAGGGATGAATCTCCATGGAACACACAAGAGCAGTCAGACACCACAGGCCTTGAGACTAGGCTAGAGTCCTTGGGCTAGGAAGGGACTGATGGACCTGCTTAAGGCAAGGGTGGTAGTGGTGGTAAGGCAGCTCTAGCCCAGGACCATCCCATGCTGGCAACACCTTAACAGGGCTGGAGTGACCTTTACAGAATGGGTGTGAGGTCCTGAGCAGCCAAAGGCAAGTGGAGAAGCAGGTAGTAGTAGACAGAGACAGGGGTGTAGTTCAGGCTAACAGAAGGCTTGCTTGCCTAGCATGCCGTCAGCATCCCCATCACTGATGGAAAATTAGCAGGGTATAGTGGCATAACCAGCATCTGGGATCCGAAGCAAGAGGATCAGATCTCAAGCAGGTTAGGGGTAGAGCTTGGTGGTAGAGTATTTGTCTAGCATTCACAAGGCCTTAAGCTCAATTACCAGCACAACAAGCCAGCCTGAGAAACACAGCAAAACTAACAACAACAACAACAAGATGGCCTCAAAAGATGCTAAATGAATTCTCTGGAAGATGTTTGAGAAGCCCCCTTCCAACTCATCTTCCCTGGTATGCTAAGGCACTGGAGTGGGTTCTAAAACCAGTTCTTAGACACAGCCCTGTAGTGTATCTTTCTAGGATGCAATGGGTCACAGGCTGGATGCCCTCAGGAGCGGGGGCCATAGTCCACCTGGCCCTGTGCCCACCATCAGGACTGTCCTGTCTGTAGCCACCTCAGCTGCTACTGCTTCTTCATCAGTCTCTTGTGGACCCTTTGTTTTAGGTTACTTTATTCACCACTCAACAAAAGACATCACCACCTATCTGCCTAAACAAGGAGTAAAAGAAAAGGCATGGAGGGCCAACTGTGAAGAGGGTGGGGCCTTTCCCATCATGTCCAGCTCAGGCTAGCCTGAGCTCACGAATACCAT